GGCGGTATCCACTCTCTCACAGCAGCTCCTGCCTATTCATATATAAAATTACACTCATAGGCCAAGGTAGATCTAATTGTAGTCACGCTGAAACGCGCTAACTATGCCACGGAATTCTAATGGAGATGACCCATCCAGCCCGTGACGACGACATGAGCAGCACGACGACCGATGAGTCGTCGTCCATGGCGAGCATGTTCTCACGCATGATTGCCTCGCGCTTGTAAGTCGACATGTGCTATGTGAAGGTGTATCGCATCTTTATGCGGGTAGCACCATTGGCGACGTGGACAGTAGCAGCAGCCAGCACGCCAAGACGCCGACGATGCCAACGATCCCGGCCGAGCTCGAGCTCAAGATCGCGCTCGTGGGCGGCAATGGCGTCGTACGCTCTCTTCTCGGTGCATATGATAGTGTATGGACCCGGCGTGGTATCATAGGGCAAGACGTCCATCGTGCGCCGATGGCTCAAGCGGCCGTACCAGTCGGCGTACAGTCAGACCATCGGCGTCGACGTGAGCACGCTCCTGTACCCGTACGGTCCAACCAAGCAGCCCGTCAAGATCCAAGTCTGGGACGTCTCGTCGGCCGAGGTCGACAATACGAGTTTGCACGAGCTTGTCTGCGACGACCTCGACGGCATCTTCTTCGTCTTTAACGTCCACCGCGTGAGCTCGATCGCAGCCGTTGACGCGTGGCGGACGCAGCTTGCGTCGTTCATCTCGTCGAGCGAAGTGCCCTTCTACCTTCTCTGCCACAAGGCCGACATGCTGCAGAAGCGCGTCATGACGAGCGATGACATTGAAGCCTACGCGCGGGTACGTCCCGTCTGCATCCATGCACACATCCACGTCGATGTGCATAGACGGCCGGGTACCGCGGGTGGTCGTGGACCGTCGGGCGCATGGGGCTCGGCGAAAGCGACCGCAACCCTGCCGTGATCGAAGCGCTCGACAAGATGGTATACTCGTACACATGACAGCGCATTGAGCCGATGGCGTAGGTCGACGCTATCTGTCGAAGTGAGCCGTTCGAGGATCTTATCAAGACACGTCGCGCTATGGCGTCACCACCGACCGTGCGCGATCCCATGCCATCCTAAATATCCACATGGCGATAGATGTTGCTGACGCCCGACGCAGAGCGCTTCATCGAGTCGACGCCTCCGTGCTTCTCGTCGGCCGTGCTCCACGTGCCGACGCAAGCCATCACAACGATCCCGCGATCGACGAGCGACATCGATGACGAGCCACCGTCCGGGTTTGGTGCCAACTGGATGTTTGGCGGTATGAAAGGGCAGTACCTCGAGGAGAAGGCGCCGTCCGAAGTGGACTTTGCCTTCCACGACGTCGCGCCGCCACGAAGCGAAGACGATAGCCTTGCCTCGCCCACGATTCCTACGACCAGCAAGGACAGCGACGACGACGATGGCTGGACGTTCTTCGCGGGCAGCATAGCGCGCCACAAGGCAGAAAACATCTTGAGGTAGACGGAAGCACATGTGTGTCAAGTTGCGACAAAGGCGTGTAGCGCGCGAGGCGAAGGCGCTTTCCTCGTTCGCCGGAAAGACTCGCAGACACTCGTGCTCTCGTACAACGGCGCTGACGACATCCACCACGTACTCGTTGAGTTTCATGACGGCCGGTACCACATTGGGTCGGCCAAGGTACTCGAGATGTCGAAAGCGTGTCAATTCTATGCGGAGCGATGGGTGGTAGTCGTCGCTGAACCAGCCGTCGTTCCCGACGCTCGCCGCCTGCCTCGAGAGCATCCAGCGGTATGCACACAAGGGCATTGTGTTTCGCCGGCGCCAGCGCTTCCGTGTCGGGGAAAAGCCCACGGCATCGATTCTCCTGGAGCCCGAGACGACGTCGGCGCCGCGCGCGCCGCCGCGAAGCGCGGGCAAGTCGGACATGGTCTGGCGCGTGAGTGCGACCGAGTCGGGCTCGCTGCCTCGCCTCCAGGCAATGCAGGAGCGCCTCGACGTGCCACCCATCCAGCGTCTGCAAGTGCTCACGCGTGACTTTTATGGCCGCCTCCGCACGCGCCTCCGCGCGCTGCTGCCCAAGTGCTCGCACGGTTTGTGGGCTCATGCGACGAAAGAGGAACCTACGATTTCGCGTAGAGGAAGCCACCACGATTCAAGAGCTCCTTGCGGTGGCGCTGGTCGAAGAGCGCGAAAATACGGTGCAGGACGGTCGGCGCACGGGCCTCGAAGACGCGTGGCGCAAGCTGGTCAAGGACATGGAGTCGTGGAACCAGATCTTAGCGACCCTCGTATGTGACATGTGGTGACCGTGCTGGACGTGATCACGTACGTAGGAAATCACGGCCCCATAAGTCTGGTCTTGCCCAGCTGTGGATACGGAGCGATGGGCACCAGAGTCACTGCTCCATCGACGCTACTTTGCCATGAGCTAACCATCGATAACAATGGACCGTACGAGCCTTTTTCAAGCAGAATTGACACGGTGTGATGGATCGACAGACTATCATCTGTTCATCGGTGCAGTCGTCTCGTGTCTTGTCGACGGACCTGAGCAAATGTGAGGCCAGATCGCGTTCTGTGCTGTGGCGCTGCCACGTCATATGGTGATCGGCAGAAACCGAAAGATCGCAAACGACGTGGGGATAAGAACGTTCCACAAATAGCGAGGAGCATGGGCCGACCAAGCGACGCGAAGGGTCTCTTGCCGCCGCTCAAGACGCCAACGCACCAGCCGCTGTCGACGTGGGAGGTCACCTTGCACTTGCTCAAGGGCAACATTGGCGCGGGCGCGCTCTCGCTCCCGTACGCATTTGCAAAAGCAGGCGTATACGTCGCGCCAGTGGTCTACTTGTTTATCGTGCGCCTGCTCGTACTTGGCCTCGATGCTGATGGCGGTCTGTAGGTGGTCATTTGCATCTACAACATGAATCTTCTCCTCTACTGCAAGACAAGCTGCAGCCCGAACGCGGCATGACGTTTGGCGACGTGGGCGGCGAGCTCCTTGGGAAGCACGGGAAGCGCGCCGTCAACGTCTTCCTCGTCGGGACGCAGCTGAGCTTTTGCTGCGTCTTCTTCACCGTCGTCGCGACCAACCTGCATGCCATCTTGCCAGCCAAGTACGTACGCACGGTGACAGGCGCTCTGCTGACGTGGGCGCAGACTCAGCCACGTCTTTCAAGAGCGGCAACTCATCTTGCTCATCTTCCCGATCCTCCTGGGTCTCTCTTGGATTCGCTCGCTGCACAAGATCACGCCCTTCTCGGCCCTCGGTACAGAGATACCTCGACGACCTGGCCTCATACAAGGCGCTAGCGACATTGGCAGTGCTTCTTGGGATCGCCATCGTCTTTTACTACTCGTACGTCTACGCCAGCGCCGCGCATGCGCCGCCGCCGGTTGTGACGACGTTCAGCTGGTCCCGGCTTCCCGCGTTTTACGGTTGCATACGATCCCACTACGCGTGCTCATGGCGGGACGTAGGCACGGCCGTCTACTCGTTTGAAGGCATTGGGCTCATCTTGCCGCTGGAGAAGGACATGCACGACCGACGGCGCTTCCGCGGCGTGCTGCTGCGCACGATGGCGTTCATCCTAATCCTCTTTCTCTTCCTCGGCGAGGTGCCAGTCCTTGCATTTGGGTCGATTGAGAACGGCAGCATGACCGCCGTGCTGCAGATGTACTTTCCCGGCTGGTCGGTCACAATCGCGAACTTGCTCCTCGCAATCGCGTGCTTGTTTCGTTTCCGATCCAGTTTTACCCCGCGCTCGAAGTCTTGGAGAAGCTCCTCGCGCGCAAAGGCTACCTCACGCCCAGCATCCAGTCGTACAGCGACGTCGTGCCGCCCCGGAGCCTTGTGTGTCCCACGCGCTGCGCGCCGGTCGAGCCGCCCGTGCCACAATGGCTCGAGAACGTGCTGGCAACGTCGCAGTACGAAGTGCGGCGAACGCTCTTTCGGTCGATGCTGGTCACGTGCTTGATGCTGGTCGCGATCTGCGTCCCGAATGTCGGCCTTCTCATTAGCCTCTTTGGCTCGGTGGGCTCGAGCATGCTGGCCGTGATCTTGCCGCCCGTGTTCTACCTCGCCCTCGAACGCGACCGCGTCTGCCTTGCGTCGTGGGCGCTGCACCTTGGCATCGTCGCCGTCGGCTGCGTCGGCATGGTTGCCGGGACCATTCAAGCGCTCGACGATATCATTGCTACCTTCCAATAAGCAGAGACAAAGTTATGATGTACCTTGGTGACAGAGATGATTCCAGGCATTCCGCACGGTGCATATGGCTGCAAGGGCCAAGGACATGCAGGCGTTGGCATGGAGGAGCCTCTGCACTGGCTACACGTTTGGCGCCGTCGAGAGATGTGGTGCCCGTCTCTCTTGCGCGATCGCGGCAGTGTCGTCCTCGTGATAGGACCTACGTGTACATCGACCATGGAGGTATGGTGTAGTGGCCATGGCGCAGTCTCGTCAAGCAGCAGGTCGCTGTTGCGTCGGTGGTTGCGACGCGGCCAGCTTGCCAAGATCCCGATCCGGTGGCATTGAACCAATCAGAAATCGCCACCAATTCTGCCACCGGGTTTCTTCCGGGCAATATATCCATTGTGGAAGGTTTTCTCCCGAAAAAAGGACCGCACTTGACGCAGCGATCTCGACTTGGCCATAAATATTAAGTTTCACAGTATTTTCGTTGACGCCAGGTTGGGCCACAACCAGATTTTCGAGCATGCGCTTCGCCCGTGTCATCGCGGTCTGCCTCGCGGCCCTCGCCGCGCCCACGGTCGCCGACGTCGAGACGCACGAGGTAGAAGCTGTCGCGTGCTTGTGATGGCTCATGGGTGCTAGTACAATGCGGCGGAAGAGGTCGTCGTCTGGGTCAACAAGATTGGCCCGTTCAACAACCCGCAGGAGACGTACACGTACAACTCGCTGCCGTTCTGCAAGGCGCCGGGCCTCGAGCTTCCGGAGGCCCACGCGCTCGGCATTGGCGAGATCCTCGAGGGCAACGAGCTCTTCAACTCGGGCATGGCGGCAACGTTTGGCGTCGACACGGACATGACGACCATGTGCTCGCAGACGTTGTCGGCATCGGAAGCCCAAGAATTCATCGACGCGGTCGACGAGCACTACTGGTACCAAATGAATGTGGACGACTTGCCCGTATGGGGTCTTGTCGGCAAGGTCGTCCAGGCCGACGACGAGCCGGAGCTCGTCAACGAGGTAGCATCCAACGTCGCATCCTGGTGTCACCCTCGCGCGTCTAGTTTGCCATTGGCACGCACCTTCTCTACACGCACAAGAAGTTTAGTATCTCGTACAACGGCCCGCACATCATCCATGTCAACCTCACGTACGCCGACGTGGCGACGCCGATCCAAGCCAACAAGTAGGCATCTCTCTATCATTCCTCGCCGGCGGCTCATTCACTGCGACGACTGCAGGAAGATCGACTTTACCTACGAGGTGTCGTGGACCAAGACGGACATTGCGTTCGACGACCGGTTCGATCGCTACCTCGAGGACGAGTAGGGCGAGCTATCCTCTATCCGATCTCACACACGTCGCTGGTTTGTATAGGTTCTTTGAGCACCAGATCCACTGGTTTAGCATCTTCAACTCGTTCATGATGGTCATCTTCCTCTGCGGCCTCGTCGCGCTCATCTTGCTGCGCACGCTCCGGAACGACTATGCGCGCTTCGCGGCCGACGACGACGAGCTCCTCCTCGAGCCCGGCCACACGAGCTCGATGCTCAAGGACGAGTCGTCGGCCGGCTGGAAGCTTTTGCACGGCGACGTGTTTCGCGCCCCGAAGAACCTGTTGCTTTTTTGTGCGCTCCTCGGGACCGGTGCCCAGTTGCTCGTGCTCACGCTGCTCGTGATCCTCATTTCGATCGTCTCGTCGCTCTACATGAAGCCCGGTGGCATTGTCTCGGTCGGCCTCACGTGCTACGCGCTCTCGTCGCTCGCCAACGGGTATGCCAGCGGCGCGTCGTACCACCAGTTCTTCTACCCGCGCGTCTCGAAGGACTGGATCAAGGCCATGGTGCTTTCGATCGCGCTGCTGCCGTCGGTCGTCTTTGTCTCGCTCTTCTTTATCAACGCGCTCTCGGTGGCGTACGGCACGACGTACGCCATTCCTTTTGTGACGATTGTGCAAGTCATTCTGGTCTGGTTCTTCGTCTCGTGCCCGCTCTCGGTGCTGGGCACGATCCTCGGTCGCCACGGCGCGGCCAAGAAAGGGTTTCCGTGCCGCGTCAACAAGTTTCCGCGCGAAGTGCCCGAAGCGCGCTGGTACTTGCGCCCCGTGGTACAGTGCTTTTCGATTTTTCGGAATTCTCGGATTTTTGGTCGTCATCTCATGCAATAATGGTGGTAGGTGCTCGGGCTCCTCACGGGCATCCTTCCGTTTGGCTCGATTTTTATCGAGATGTACTTCATCTTTGCGTCGTTTTGGAACTACAAGTTCTACTACGTCTACGGCTTCATGCTGCTCGTGTTTCTCATCCTCTCGGTCGTCACGGTGTGCGTCACGATTGTGTGCACGTACTTTCTGCTCAACTCGGAAAACTACCACTGGCACTGGACGTCGTTCCTCGCAGCGGGCTCGACCGCGCTCTACGTGTTTGCGTACGCGATCTACTTTTACTTTTGCAAGACCAACATGTCGGGCTTCCTGCAGACCTGCTTTTACTTTGGCTACATGTACGTGCGTGACGATATTGTGCAAAATTGTCTCATAGATGTTGATGCTAGGGGACTCTTTTGCTTTGCGTTTTTCATCATGTGCGGCTCGATCGGGTACTATGGCAGCAGCGCGTTCACGAAGCGGATATACCGCAACATCAAGATCGAGTGAAAGACGATAGCCAACGACGACATGGTGTCTTGTCCCGTGCGTTCTTTGTTGCTTGGCGTCAGAACGTATCGAGATGGAGGAACGTGTGGACTGGACCCCTTGACACCACGGGAGGAGTTGGCAGTGTTTCTGCAAAAGCCCACCGACTACACCATCGGTGCTCTTTCTAAACGAAGGCGCGGGTGCGGAGATGTGACAGAAGCTGACTGCTCTTCGCAACCCTTGGCCACAACCACAACAACGCTCTTCGAGCGAGGCGCCAAGCAGAGTGACAAGTGGCAGCGACGCGACATCGACGGACGGTTGCCCATGTCGTTGGTCCCACATACGACATCAATGGCCCGTGCACATATTGCCCCGGCCTCTTGCAACCCAGTGCCATTGTCACAGGCTGCAAGTCCTGCTGCAGTAAATGATAAAGATGATGCATGAGGCGTGTCTTAGAAAAAGTCCATGAGCGACGTGGCGGGGTCGTAGTCCGCGGCCAGCAGTGCGAGCGCCGGCTCGGACGTGGCGAGCACGAGCGTGTCTTGGTCGCCGGCTTCGAGTGCGGCAATGAGCGACTGGTTGAGGGTTTTCGGGAGCTTGGCGAGGGCTTGAAGCGGCTTGGGCGCAAGGATTTGGTCCGCGTGCACGCTGAGCAAGCCCACGTAGAGGCGCAGCATGGCCCCCCAGCCATGCTGCAGAAACCCATCCAAAATCAGCACCATATTCTCGCTCGTGAGGCTGGCTTCGTGGAGAAATAGCGCGAGGATCCAGCCCGACGCGTACATTTGAGGATGCACTTTTTGCTTGAGGAGCGCAGATCCCACGTGCGGGAGGTGCACCCGCACAAGGCAGTCGAGCTGATACATGCGCAGCTTGGCGCCCGGAAGGTCCGGGCACCGAAAGACGTCCCGGAACCCATAGTGCAACAGGAGCGCGGCAAAGATCTCGAACGCGGACGCCTCGTTGTACGCGAGGCAGCTCAGAAGCGCACTGCCCAAGAACGTCATGCCGTGGCAATACCCGATCTCAGGGTCGAGCGCCGCATAGGCGCGGAGTAGCCGCGCAAGCATGGCCTGCGCGTCGCTCTCGTCACAAGATGTCACTTGTTGATGCGCGTAGATCCCACGGCGAAAGGTGGTGCGGCGCACGTCGGCGTCAATCGCGCGATGGTGGGGGTTGGCCACGTCGGCCATCGCGGCCGCAACGAGATGTCCATAGTCAAAGCACTGAGGCACGTAGCCCGGGCGCCGGCGAATGCAGTGCGTCCAGAAGCGCCACCGATCGATTGGCGTCCGAAGCGATGTCGTCAAGAGACGCTTGGACGCCACGACGTCGTGCCACGTACGCGCGACGAGCCGTGCGCTTGCCACGTCACGCGCCGACAGAAGCGAAAAAATATGGAGTGTCGCGCCCTTGAGGCTGGTCATGGGTGCGTGCAGCGCCTGGAGCTCGCGCACGAGGAGCACCACCGCTTCGTTGCCGGTGCGCACGACGTCGTCCACGAGCTTCTCGAGGCGGTCCATGCACTTGAGCTTCTCGGCCTCGCGCGGGCCAAGGAGGCTCAAGTCGCGCACAAGCTCCTGTAGCTTCGCGAGCTTGGAGTTCGCTTGCGCAATGCACTGCCACGCCGCGCGCGCACGCCGCTGCGCTGGGACGGGTCGTGGCCGTCGAGCTCGGCGAGGTGCCGCGTGTACTCGGCGAGACTCGCTGCGTGACGCGCCTAGCGTATCAGTGGCAACCGGGAAGGTACTTTTTCAATTCACGTACCTTGGCCGTCGAGAGGATGCGGCGGCCGGCTGCCCACTCGGGCTGGCGCGAAACCCGCACGTGACGCTGGAAGCGCGCGACGAGGTCGTCGTCGATGGCATCGCATGCGGACTAGACACACAACGAGTGTTAAAATCACATTCAACACTCGAAGCGTACGCTGCGTGCCGTGGGGTGCACCTGGCGTCGCATCGAGGGACCGGACGGCGGGCCGTAGACCCCCGTGTAGACGCCGGACGCGTCGATCTTGTACTTTTTGAGCGCGCTCTCGGGCGCGTGCATCTCGCTGCTGCAAACCGGCGCAGCTGGCGGCGGCTTGGCCATCCACGCGCCCAGCGACCGCGCAATCGACTCGAAGAAGCTCATCGACAACGGTCAATGGAGTGTTGCGATCTTTGAGGGGCATGCCGAAACGGCTAACCGGTTGTACGAGCCAGATTTACCGGTAGCCATCATCCGTGCCCCTTCCTGCCCCTGCCAACTCATGTGGTGTTTTAAACACCTCTAGAGTATTGGGCAGTACAGCACATTGTGGAAAATGATGATCACGGTCGGTTGGTTGACGGTCTGTTCACTGGCATCAATTACAGTCCGCTCAACTAGAGCGCCTTAATGCTACTCTTGTAGCGTGTACACCCACTTCGCTCACCGCGAAGATCAGCCTCGCGCACCAGTGTGACGTCACGCCTCGGCTGGATGACGTCATGACCAGTGATGCAAGCCACACAGAGCTTGCTTGGGACCACTGGCTTGGGACTCTTGCGGCTCTTTCAGCAAGCGTTTCGACACAAAGATGTAGCATGTCAATACTGTGCTCTAGTAGTATCGCTGGCGACGCAGCGTGACTGTCGGTGGCTCGGCGATGGTTTACTGATTCAAACAGAAATCGAGTAGAAAACACTGTACTCTTTGCGCCGTTCTGTTTAAAACAGCTGACGGCAAATCCGGGCCTGGCATGCTCATTCCGCCTCTGGTTTGCTTGGTTGCCGCCGTCTCCTTGTACTTCTTCCCGAGCATGAGCCGCGTGACGACGTACGACCAAGGCCGCATTGTTCATGTCGGCGCCTCGGGCGACCAGGTTGGTGCTGCCGTGGGCCAGCTCGTCGCCGACCTCAGCAAGGCCTCGATCGCTGCGTCTGGTCGCTTCACGCTTGCGCTCTCGGGCGGCTCGCTGCCCAAGGTACGCATCCTCTCGCATCGGCGAGCTCACGCCGCGCGTTAGATTCTTGAGAAGGGCCTCGCGTCACTCAAGGGCGACCTCGACTTCTCCAAGTGGCACGTCTTCTTCGCCGACGAGCGCTGCGTGCCGCTCGAGCACTCGGACAGCAACTACTTGGCATGCCACGACGCCTTCTTCCAGCACGTACGACCGTCTTCTTTTGGCAAGAATGGTACCAAATAGCGGTGGCGTAGGTCCCGATTCCCCGTGCGCAGATCCACACGATCGTTTTGGACAGCGACCCGGCCGTCGTCGCCACCGAGTACACGCGCCAGCTCGCAAGCCTTTGGGGTTCCACGGTAGGCTGTCTACCTGTGCATCATGGACTATTCGATCTTATTATGACTGGGACTGCTAGCTGCCGCGCTTTGACTTGATCTTGCTCGGTATGGGCCCCGATGGCCACACATGCTCGCTCTTCCCGGGCCATCCGCTTTTGAACGAAGAGTCGCTGTGGGTCGCGCCGATCTCGGACTCGCCTAAGCCGCCGCCGCAGCGCATCACGCTCACGTACCCCGTTGTTAACAACGCGGCGGCTGTTGCGTTTGTCGCGACGGGCGACAGCAAGGCGCCCCTCATGCGCCACATGCTCGGCCTCGAGATCCAGACGCCGTCGCTGCCTGCCGCGCGCATCTTGCCGACGAACGGCCAGCTCCACTGGTTCCTCGACGACGCCGCGGCGTCCAAGCTCTAGGAACACTCCACTCAACGCACGTGTATTCCATTAAATAGCCATCTCTCGAATCTTGTCTTTCTTGGTGGCTTCCAGTTCGTGTTGTTGTCACCCCAGATATCATCCCATTTCCCAGATCTCGTCCCGTTTCCCAGATCTCATCCCCGTGTGGTGTCGTCGGTCGCCGTCCATGGTCGGTTGACGGAGATTTCGTGGAGGTACTCGAGAAGCGGCTCGTCGATCGTGTGCAGGAACTCCGCGACTTGTTCGAGCTCGAGCGTCGCGGGTGGGGTGGCATCCGGTGTCGTGTGGGCGAGGCAAAACCCGCCGAGGCGCGCGTGGTGGCCGCAGCCTTGCGCGGCGCAGATGCGACCGCCGCCATGGCGCACACAGCGCTTGCGCGCGTGAGCTTGCTTCTTGCAGCCGTCGACGACGCAGAAGCGCTTGGTAGCAAGGCCGCCGTGGTCGACGCAGTAGTCGCCGCCGTTGACCGAGTTGGTGCAGTGGTCGATCGCGCACGGCTTCTTGCCGCCGTGCCGCACGCAGAGGCCGCGCGCGTACACTTGGTTGTGGCACTCGTGGAACGAGCACTTCTTTCGCCGCTTGTGGAATGCGCACTTGGAGCAGCCGTACAGAGCTTCTTGTCGGCAGTCCTTGAACATACACAGCGTCTTGGCCATGGTTTCTTCGAATGAGCTACAAGGCGAAAGGCCAGTGAAGAAGCCTGCACTTGACGGCGAGTTGGAATATCACGCGTCGCATCCCACTTTGGCGGCCATAGAAACCAGCATCGAATGCCACTTCTGCGCGCCGCGTCAGGGCAAGTAACGATGCCTTCGTCAAGGCTGGGACGGACGCGGCGCGGCGTAACGCTAGGTACCTTGAGCTGCGGCCATAAGATTACCTGTCTTCAACAACTCTTGTCGAAGTGCCATGCGTCGGCTTCGTCGTGATGATGCTGCGGACCACACTTGGTCGCTCGTGTCGATCTCGCCGACAAGTTCCCGCGCAAAAACGATCAAGATCTCGAAACCGAACGCCGCGCTGATTGGTCCGATTTGGGTGACGTCATCGATTCCACCAATGGAAAGGCTGGATTCGCGTGTCACAGCATGCATATCATCTCTCTGACAGCAGCGATGGATGACGGTGCTCGACACCACGGGTCTGGAAGCACCTTGCAGAAGAATTCATTGACAAACGTCTCGTCCATCGTTCTACTGCGTGCATGCGGCGCTCAATCGTGCTTCGAAAAGAAACAAAAGAAGCTCCGACCGACGCACGCTCTCGACAACTCGATGCCCATGTGGTGGAGGCTTGAGGCTCTTGTTGTTGTAATGCGCCCCTAGTGGACGGCAGCTGGCGTTGGAGAGCTCCGACTCTAAAGGCAGTCTTGAGCACGAGTCGAGGTGGCATCATTTTTGCCGTCTCGCTGCATGCACTCATGTGTCATCCTCTTCTTCTTGGTAAAGCATTCTTTCAACGAGCTGCTGCGCTGCGGGGAAGAATGGACGCAAGATGGCGTTTCTATGGAGAGGCACGAGAGAGGTGATGGCGGACGCGGAGACAGGCGCAGCGCGCGCCTTCTCAGGCGGACCACGGACACAGAGAGGCGAGCCATTTCGACGGCCTCGTACCTTCCCAGACTCGAACCAACGATCGTATACAGCCGACCTTTTGCCCATCGGTCGAGTCTTGCGTGTGCGGTGACGCATCCGAACCCACGCGGTTGCGGCAGTTGGTTTTGGAACATGGCCGAATGCACGTGCCCAGACGATCGGTGATGTTTACACCCCACGCTGCAATATTTCGCGAGCCGGTGCCGTCGAGCGTCGGAGCCTCGTGGCCGTGAGCTGTGGCCGTGGCAGCTCATACACAAGACTGAGGGCCGTAGTCGGCGGCAGACAGGCTTGGTGGCGCCAGCTGCCTCGTCGATGCCATTGGTCGAATCTTGGCCAAGACTTGAACCCGCACCTGAACGCCACTTGAACTTGGGCGTCCTTCCTTCATACAAAGATGCAGATCCTTCGCATCCTCGGTCATTGATTGGCCAGTGGCTTGAACTTGAAAATCGCGTGGTGTCCCGACCTGACCGGTGCAACTGTTATAACATGGATACCGCCGTGGGTATAACAGGTGCCACGTGCACGTCCCAAGTGCAAAGTGCCGTTGAGCGTGTGTTATATCGCACAAGGTAAGTGTTATACCGTCCAAGATCGCAAAGGAAGTGCTTCTCAAGTGGCCACACCTCATCATCACTTCGGTTCCTGCCCTTCCTCGCCCAAGCAGTCGAGCAGCATGAGCATGATGTTCCGCAAGAAGGCGCTGGCGCCGCTGAGCCTGACCCGCCACCTCTCGACGCGCCCGGCCAAGTGCGTCGGTGTCGTCCGCGAGGTCTACAACAAGTGGGAGCGGCGCGCGCCGCTGACGCCGGGCCACGTCCAGGAGCTCGTGCAGGCAGGCATCAACGTGCATGTGCAGCCGAGCAACCAGCGCATCTTCACGGACGACCAGTACACGGCGGCAGGCGCGGTGGTCACGAACGACCTCTCGGCGGCCAACGTCATTGTCGGCGTCAAGCAGGTGCCCATCGAGCATCTCCTGGACGACAAGACGTACCTCTTCTTCTCGCACACGATCAAGGCGCAGCCCGAGAACATGAAGCTCCTCGACGCGATCTTGGAGAAGCGTATTCGCCTCATCGATTACGAGTGCATCACGGAGGGCGGGCAGCGCAACGGCCGCCGGCTCATTGCGTTTGGCTCGTACGCGGGCCGCGCCGGCATGCTCGCGGGCTTCCGCGGTCTCGGCGAGCGCCTCATCAACAAGGGCTACTCGTCGCCGTTCGTCAACATTGGCTCGGCGTACATGTACCAGGACCTCGACCGGGCCAAGGCCGCCGTCGCGACCGCTGGCGAGCTCATCAAGAAGAACGGTCTTCCCGCCGACCTCGCGCCGCTCACCGTTGTCTTTACGGGCAGCGGCAACGTCTCGCAGGGCGCCCAAGAAGTCTTCAAGCTCCTCCCGCACGAGTTCGTGTCGCCCGAAGACCTCCCGCACCTCAAGCCCAACCGCCACGTTGTCTACGGCTGTGTCGTGGACGAGAAGCACATGGTATGGACGCATACCCAGAGCTCCACCCACAACGTACCCATCTTCCTCTTAGGTCCAGCACAAGACCAAGAAAAACGACTTCACCAAGGAAGAGTACTACAAGCACCCGGAAGAGTACGAGCCGACATTCCACCAGAAGATTGCGCCGCACACGTCGCTCCTCGTCAACTGCATGTACTGGGACGACCGGTACCCGCGCTTGATCACAAAGGACCAGATGGACGAGATCACGGCCGCGAGCGGCGGCGACCCCAAGCTCCTCGGCGTCGCCGACATCTCGTGCGACATTGGCGGCAGCGTCGAGTTTCTTGAAAAGTCGACGTACATTGAAGACCCGTTCTTCCTCTACGACATCAAGTCGCGCACGGCCAAGTCGTCGCTGGCGGGCGAGCCTGGGTACCTCTCGCGAGGTTGACGTGATGGCGTGACTGTGTAGCGTCATGATGATGGGGGTCGACATTCTGCCGAGCGAGCTCCCAAGCGAATCGTCCAACCACTTTGGCAACCACCTCGTGGGCTTTCTCAAGAGTCTGGCGGGCGGCGAGAAGGACATTCCGGACGAGCTTCAAGGCGCGGTGATTGCGGCCGACGGTCGCCTCTCGCCCAAGTACGAGTACATC